AGAGCCCTGGTGGTACAGGGATTTAAGTGTTCAGCTACAAACCAGAAATTTGATCCCACTGGCCATTTCCCCATGAGAAAGATACAAGTGTGTGCTTCCATAAAGCTTCCATCCTCTGGAGCGATTCTATTGTGGATCATTTTGAGTCAGAATATTGACTTGATAGCAATGTGGTTTGCTTTTCATATGGAATGAGAGATAATCCATATAAAGGATGAGTTGAAACATATTATCATCACAGTGCTTGATGCTCAATGGAAGTTATAATAAAATACAGAGAGAGGATATGCTAGAATAGAGATCCCACCCACCACCCTACCCCCTGGAAGCAGCTTATATGCTTTATGAAATACTAGCTGAAATAGCTTTTTTACTACAAATAATGAAAAGCCTTCACTTTAAAAACAACAAAAGAACAATCTTCAGAAAGGAACATGCACACTCTGATTTTTAAAAAGTCTATTTAAATATATTTACTTTGCAATTACTCATACTTATATTAAAGGAGAACAACAAATTGGGTCCTTTGTCTAAAATATATTTCATTAACAAATTTAAAATCTATTTTAAGTTAATAATTATAAAGATATATGTTAGAGCTAAGACTTTAATTCAGAAAAAGCAAGTTCTTTCTTGAAAATATACATCTGTATTTAAAAAAAAAATAGAGGGGAAACAACACCAGAAACCATCTTTTACGTTTTACACTTGATAGTATTGAAGGAAATACACAAACTAAATAACTTGGAGTTTGGATGGGCAAAGTATATCCTAACAACAGGACCCTTTTTTATACATATTGTTTGAATATGTAAATTTGAATAAAATATATGTTTTTAAAAAGCTAAAATTTGAATAAAATATATGTTTCTTAATGCCATAAAAAGGTACAATGTGTAAATCCTAGAAGACAGATTATAGGTTTTCATCAGGGCTGGAGAAATAACAAAAACGTGTCTGCACAGCCATATACTTTGAATTAAAAACATGGTAATTTATCACTTACTTTTTTCAAGAAAGAAATTTCACATTAATTTCTAGATTTAGATTTATTTATTTTATTAAAGAAAATACAGCTAGTGAAAGCCATGGAAAATTACTGTTAATAAAGAACATTTTCTCTTTTTTTGCAACTCGTAAGTTCATTATATCTAGTTCAACTTGCCTAGTACTCATTCATTCAAATGCAAATTCAAAGTGTTACACATACAAACATGTATAAACATTAAAGAAATTAATATTATGTTACTACTTAAAGGAAAAATATATCTATCATTGCATACTTTAAACACACACCTGTGGAATTAAAAAAAAAAATTTGGTATGTACTTATGCTGATGGAGAAAAACTGAAGATATGAGGAAGGGACACATTATGGTAATTGTTTCCAGATTTATTTTATCTCATCATTTATTATAATGTATATTTTCCTGAGTATGTGTTATATAAATAAAAACTGTTAACTGTACTGAGAATAATTGTGTCACATAATTCTAACACATAAAAAATAAATTCATTCAGTGTCATGATATAAAGACATTTTTCTATATTCTTTAAATATAAATTTTTCAAAAACAAGGAGTAAAAAGATATATATTGTAAAAATCTGAAGTCCCAAAGCACTACTTATTCTTTTATGAGGTCTGTTTTATTCTAATTTCAGTAAATACCTAAAATTTTTAGTCATACATATTTTATATTATATATTTTATACTATAAACATTTTATATAAAATCTCCATATACCAATGAACTCTTAGCCAATCTTTCTTGATTGATTGGTATTTTAATATGATAATGTCTTGCAACTGATGCAAAAATGAAATAAAGGTAACCTGAATTATAGTTATAAATCCAATTCTTCTAAAAATATTAAATTTTCAATATGGTTCAGGAGAGGACAGATTTAAACTAATATTCTAAATTTTGCTTTTGTTAGTTATTATAATGGTGGTTACCATATATGCTAGCCTAAATTAAAACAGAAGTATTTTTATATATGTGCTAAAAATATTTCTACAAGAAGTTCCTCTCTTGAAAAATACATTTTACAATACCAGCATAATATGGGCACATAATAGCATGCAAATAATGTGTTTTCCTTTTACACATAAGCCAATATACATTAGGTGAATGTTACCAAATGGGACATGTATGCTACACACCTTACTGAAGGCAAATATTCCCATGGGAAACATTTAATCCAGTGAAACAACTGTATCAAAATTCCTTTTATCTAAGAAAAAATAAAGTGTTACAGTGTTAACTCACAGGACAATCTAACTATTATTTTAAACCAGAAGAGTCTGCTATACTAGGTGCATGGTAAGCGGCAGAGAAGAGAAAATTAAATATGGTGTTGAAAATAAGACCTTCCTTATATTTTATAATAATAAAATTTTAAGTCCTGCATATTATGATAAAACCTTATTTAAAAAATAAATAAAATTTCAAATTATTATAATCAGACCCACTCCAATTAGTGCAAAGTCAATTTTATAGTATATAAATGGCATATTCTTCCAGTTTCAATGGCAAAACCATCCTCTATTACTTTCTTCTGAAAGACAAAACTGTCAAAACCCAAAAGAATTTACTATTGATTGCCAAAGAAATTTTATATACCTATATAAGGATATATGTGTGTGTGTATATATATATGTAAATAAATATATACACAAAATATGTACCTTCATAGTCAACAATGTAATTTGTGTACTCACTTTTTACAAACTTACAAATTTCCCCAAATATTTAAGATTTATAAATAAACATTATATATATTCTTTTCTTGCAAAAATACCAAATGACACCAAATCTAGAGGAAGCAAGGCTGCATTTTCATCCTATTTTAAGAAAGTTTAATCAGAAATCTAACATAAAGTACAAATGTTATTTCACATCCCTTCTCTCCCCAGAGAATGGCATTACTAACTTTACAAATAAATATGAAAAGATGAAGAAGCCTTCCAAAAATGAGTATTACCACAGGAAGCTGAGTAAGCTTCTATTAAAATTTTATTCTGAAAGTAAATAATGTTTTAGCTAATTTAAAATATATTTCTATTGTTAAAATTCAAATTCTTACTAAGCAAAGAAAATGTAATGGCTTCATTCCTATTTTAGTTCACTAATTCTTACTTTATTTCTAGTACCTAGTGAATTTCTGATCATGGAAATGAAGTTATAGTAATTCTAAAAAAACACTTACTGCAGATGTCCCTCTTACAATTAAGATTTTTGCACTAACACTTTACTATAGTATGTTACTATGTTAAGGAACAGAAGGTTGTTTGTGGTTCTATTTTGAAAGGGCAGGGTTATCCCAAGTGATGCTCTATCTCCCTCAAATGATAGAAATATTTATGAAGTGTCAGTTAAAAGCAATACTTAAAAATGTGTGAATTGAATACATCTAGATTGTGAGTGCTTTTAAAGAACCAAAGCACGAGTGAATCACTTGAGTTCTCACTTATAGGCCAAGGTACAAAAAGACTGAAAATTAAATGAACAAACGTGTGTTTTTTCCCCCTCCAAGACTGAATCATGTTGAAGCATATTTAGGGTCATTCTTTGGCTTTTTTTCCCCTCTGTATTTTACCCACTTGGATCCTTCTGTCAATTAAAGGAAGATCTACAGATGGCATTTATCCGTTTGCTTCGTAACATAAAAGGATTTTTGCAATCATTTGTATGGAAGATTATCAGGAGAGGAACATTACTGTAAATCAATGACAGAAAAAATGAGACACTCCCCTCTCAGGCTGAGGCTGCTTCTTCCAGATTTCTACACAGACACCTAATGCAATAAATATTTTAAACCGAAGCCCTCAATAATCGTTGCAGTGTCAACTGGTCAAGATGCACTGTTAATACCCATCCAAAACTCCACGATTCAGCACTCAGGCAACAATGGACAGCAAATCATTCCCAACAGCAGAAGTATCGGGAAGGCTACCTTGGGCTTTGTTTTTGTTATGTAAAATGCATTAAAGTGACTCATCCACTTAAGATTTCCTACTCTTAGAAGCTTTAAAGCGGCTTCAAGAACCAAAATAAATGCCTTCCCAGAATGCTTGATCAGCTCTATTCAGTGCACTTTAAAAATACGTATATATTTCCATTATTTTGATTCTTCTTTCAGCTTATTACGGGGAAGCAGTATTTTCCATTCCCTTCTGCCGGGTAACTACAGCTACCTTGAAACCCCTTGTTTGTTTCCAGACAAGCCAGTAGTTGTGTTTTCGTTTTGAATTTCAAAGTTATCTTAGCTATGTTGAAAAGAAGGGGGGAATTGAAGGAGATGCTGGAACCGCTCAGTGTGTCCCTCAAAGAACAGGTTCTGTTCATGCTAAGAACAGGCGCCTCGTGCCTCGGGCACTTGGATGTTGGGAACAGAGCGCGGAGGCTCGGCTCGCACGGCCCGGGTACCCACGGGTCCCCGCCAGCCACGCAGGTGAACCGCACGCTGGAGCAGCAGGGAGCGATCCGGATCCCCAAGTCCACCAAGTGCACACAGCAACTGAGGGATACAGCGAGTTTTGACAGCAAAGCAATTAGAAAGCATCCCCGAGGCCAAGTGCGGGAAAGGTCCAGGGCGCTCCGGGCAGCAGGCACTGCTCTATGTGTAAGATGTCCAGCCAAACCCTAACTTTCCATTGGACTGGCTTCGAGGAGAGCGTGGAACTGCCTGGAAACTTTTTCCTCTCAGTGCAGCTAAACTCTTGAGTGTCACATCTCCTCGCGACCAGGGGCCGAGGCGCGCTGAGTCCGCGCGGACGCCCCCGAGACCACCCGGCCCCGGCGAGGCGCCGGAGACGCCGGCTCCGCGCGCATTCCGGCGGCGCGCGGCGCGCATCGCGCTCGGCCTCCCCGGCTCCGAGCCCGCCTCGCCCCGCGCTCCCCACCCCCACGGGCGGAGCGGCCCCCGGAACTCCGCGGAGGGACCCCGCCCTGGCTCCCGCGGCGCCCCTCGCCCTGGCCTCCCCGCCGCTGACTTACGTGACGGCCGCGGGGAAGGGCTCCTCCGACGAGGGGCCGATCAGCAAAGCTTGGAAAAGTGTCAGAGTCAAGGCCAGCAGGCAGCCAGCAGCCATCTTCGCGATCGAAGATCAGTCCCCCGCCCTCGCGCGCCGGGAAGGAAGGCACGGTCCTGGGGAACGCGGGAGCAGCGAGGGCGCACGCTGGTCGGGGCCGTCCGGAGGGCTGGCGCACGGGGCCCAGGGAGCAGCGGGGAGCAGCGGGCAGCAGCG